TTGTTTGTGATGAATTGCAAACGTTCAGGAGCAGCAACAGAGTCGCCAGTCCCAGCTGACTCAGGATGAGCGTGTGTCCCGCTCCTATCTGGCCCTGGCCACGGAGACTGTTGAAATGTTCCACATCCTCACCAAGCAGGTCCAGAAGCCTTTCCTCAGGCCTGTGAGTGCCGCTGCCCCCACTGGACATTTTGAAAAATCATCTCACTTGAACTTGATATGTTCTCGGCTCCATGAATTGAAATGTGTTCTCAATAATGCAATAAAATGAACGTAAGGGCAACATTATCAGCCTGAACTGGGCACTGTGAGCCCAACAAGCTGTTCTAAACGGTGCCTTCTTTTTCCTACAGGAGCTGGGGCCTCGTTTAGCTGCCATGCTAAACTTTAACCTCCAGCAGCTCTGTGGGCCTAAGTGTCGGGACTTGAAAGTGGAGAACCCCGAGAAGTATGGCTTTGAGCCCAAGAAGCTGTTAGACCAGCTGACCGACATCTACCTGCAGCTGGACTGTGCCCGCTTTGCTAAAGCGATTGCAGATGACCAGGTTTGTATTTTCACTCAAAGATTACTTTACTTTGTAAGAAATACTTGCACAAGTGGGCGTTTGTTAGGATGAATAATGGCCATGAGAAAAGGCTATAGGAGATTGTGGTAGATCATCACAATCGCGGTCGTATTGCCTTGAAGACATCAGCGTGAATTAAACTATTGTACTTGTTGACTGTAATACCGTGTTTCACCCAGTTTTCATGAATATCCACTTCTTCCCGGATAATGCAAGCAGGAAGCAATTGGGGACCAAATGCTGTAGATTAGTTCATTTTAATGTGACGTTTCAAGCAGCCACTGTAACATGTGTATGAGTTACTGTGTGCATTTTGACTGTAGGCAATTGATGATAAATGATTTGTTTACGGAGAATATCTATTAAAGTCTTGCATATAGAAAGAGACGACTGACGGTTAAGGTACTGAATTTTCGCATCTCCTCAAAGATGCTCTTCCCTTGCAGCTCCCTAATATATTTTCCCTCATTGTGGTCTGTGTGTAGCGGTCGTACAGCCGCGAGCTCTTTGAAGAGGTGATCTCAAAGATGAGGAAGGCTGGTATTAAGTCCTCTATTGCCATTGAAAAATTCAAGCTGCTATCGGACAAGGTGGAGGAAATAGTCGCCAAGAACTCCCAATCTGAAATGGACTACAGTGATGCACCTGACGAGTTCAAAGGTGTGTGTGTGTGTTTGTCCACAGTGTTTAAGCAGCATACCTGCAACTTTTAGCTTTGTATCTTCAGTCGAGGCAATTAAGGTAATTCTTAGACTTTAAATACAAATGTTTTTTTTTTTTTGTGATTACTTAAACCACAAAAGTCACTGAATCTTTGGCCCAAAGAAGAAAAAGTCACTGGCTTAGAAATCTGGTGTGACCTCAGGTCAGTCAGTGCAGACGGACAGGATCTTCATAGGCCTCTATCGCTGTTGAATTCCACACATTTGCAGCGGCTTTTGCAGCTCATACAGGTCATATTGACAGCTTAGAGCAAAGGCTATCCTATAACCACAGACTTAATATAATCTAGTAAGAGAACGTGGCCCACATACCTCCTTTGATTCCCAGATATGCCAGCCTACCCACCACGGTCGACTGGAGTGTGCCGCACAGGAGGCTCGGGTATCGTCTTTCCCTGCGGTTAAAATCTCCCATGCCAGGTTTTATTTTTGAAACGCACGAGTCCTCCTGTAACAACCTTGTGACATTTCAATATAGGGCACACTTTATCAAAGGCTCTCATTGAGTATTTATTGGGATACTTTCTTTAGTGGTTGCCAATTTTGCTGTCATATAAAACACATCGTTTCAGCAGCTGGGTTTTGACATGTCACATAAGTATGAAGCCATGCCTTACATGCTGATAATATTTAATTCTGTTTGGGGGGTTTTCTGTTGAGTTAATTTTGTTTTTGGTAGTGTTTATTCATTCTTAATTCAAAGACCACTGAAAAAGCCAGTGTAGTTTACCTGTATTCAGATGTACGAATAATAACCCTTCGTCCAAACACAAGTAACAGACTTTTGAGCAGCCTATGATGTTTGTTTCAGCTCTATTAGGACAAGAAAGGATAACAGGATATGCTGACAATACAAATGTTTCAATACTGATCACATTCTCACTTTTAGGATTGTCATTTGACGCTTGTGCTTTTTGTTTCGACGGTGTTAAGTTCTCTAAAATGTACATATGGCTTTATTATAACAGACCCTCTGATGGACACACTGATGACCGACCCCGTGATACTGCCTTCGGGCAACATCATGGATCGATCCATCATCCTGCGTCACCTGCTTAACTCCCCCACTGATCCCTTCAACAGACAGCCACTCACAGAGAGCATGCTGGAGTCAGGTAACCCAACCACGATGCCATTTCACCAGTAATTACATGTAAAGTTCTGTTCAAGGTAGGTGAGCGCAAAAGTCTTTCCTAATACGAACGGCAAAGCAACTATCTAGTTTTAGATTCAAGGCAAGTGATTAGAGGACACCAAAATGTCAAATTAAAGTACTGCCTGTTAGATTGCAAATGTCAGTTTGTTTGATCACAATCTGTTGTTGCCTCTACAGTCCCTGAGCTGAAGGCGAGGATCCATACCTGGATGAGAGAGAAACAGGGCGGACGGCCTGTCTGAGGACCACATGTCACCAACGTCTGACCTGCTAACCATCATTAAGAGAGCTGTCCAAATCGCCTGAATTCAGTGTCCCTACTACCAAGAAACATTTGAATGGGAAGACCTGATTTGATTTTTATTTGCATTTACCCTTTTTGTCTCCAACCATTATGGTTCTAAAAACAAAATATAATAAAGTTAAGACTTTTAAGTTTTTTTTTCTCATGAGTTTGTGTATATATCTAACAAAATATATACATATATTTAACGAAGGTTATTTAATGCAATATAGTGCTGCAAAAATACCTTTCCACCACCAACGGGTTTACCAGCGAGACGCATAGATTCACTTCATCGATCATTTTCCTTTACGGTTCTCATTTTGTTTCGTAATACTCTGTATTGTTGGCTTCGTTAAACTATTATGATTTTAGGGAGAAGGGAGGGCAATACATTTGGGAGAGAGTGGGTGGGTTCTGATAAAAATTGCTAGCCCCGAGTTTTCATTATTAAGACTGTGACAATGGTGAACTTGAGTCCACGTAATGTATGCTGATTTCCCAGAGCTAACAGTTGCACAGTTTGTGCTTGTAGACAAAGTTCGGAACAGGAAATATCCATTAAGGATGTAACCTAACGTTAACTAATCCTAAATGTCAGCTTTTGAGTACAGTAGGAAGATGAGCAGTGGATTACCAAAATACAGTATGTTCAGTTGTTCCTTTCTAGTCTCATTTTCCCTGCTGACTTCAATAGATGGAGTTTACTTCTTGCGTGTGCATGGCCTCAAGTCAAGAACCTCCTAAGCTTCTGATGGACAAATAACCCTCGTTTAGGCGAAATGGAGGGAACATGAGAGAATGTAGCATGACCTCCAGAAACACCATCATAGGAGCGCACCATTAAAAGTCGGCTCTTCAGAAACACCGACATCTCACGACAAGGCGGTCTCTTTCAAATGGCACTGTACTTAACGTTACCTTGCTGACCTTAACTGTACAGGAAAGGATTTCCTTAAACCACATACCTGTTTTGGAAGCTAGGATTTTGAACTGAAATAAATGATGATGCACATTATTTCACAACTCGTCAGTTTTTTCCAAAGATTGATGCGGTCGGGGTTTTGTTTGGTCCTTTATTGACCTTATGAAAAGATAGACACTTACATCACGCGTAACTACAAAATGTCAGATTATACAAAGTATAAAAATAATTTTTTATGTAAAGAGAATAAACATGCAGCAACAAAGGTGACATATTAATGAATACAATTAACACGATCAAAATCTCTGTATACAGTATATGAATTGCATGCAAGTTATAACTTTGAAGGTATGCTTACACACATTTATTCCAATTCAGTTTTTGTAATGTGATTTCCCAAATGCATAAGCTTACTGTAATTGTTATAAACTAATGGATTGAACTTGGCAACTGTCCCAATTTTATTGGCAAGATGTAAACATTGTGCATAATTAAGGGTAAACTGCATCTTATCCGGGAAAACGATTAACCCTTCGTCAGTCTGGAAGCTCTTCAGATTTTTTGCACACCGTGAAAAAACCTTGAAAATTGCAAAAGATTGTATTCAATACTGCCTAAATTAAAACAAATGGTGCCCAATAATCAGAATCAGCTTTATTTGCCATGTATGCGTACGCATACAAGGAATTTAACTCCGGTTTTATCGTTGCTCTCCACTTACACAGAATTTATATATAAAATACGAAACGGGGACAACAAAAAAAAAGAACAATGTAAGCATAAACATTTAACGACTATGTACAATATAAATATATATCCAAAAGTATATGTGTATATATATATATATACATATATATATATGTATATATATATATATACATATATATATATATAAACATAAACCTATACAACAGTGTCAATGGAATTGAGGTGATAGTGCAAATGGAGGTAATAGTGCAGTAGCCTATGACTAATTAATTGTAAAGCAAAAATGTATTTGCGAATGTGGTTATAGGCCTATATTTATGGCACTTATGTGGGTAGACACATTTTTTGAAATGTAGAATATGATTGTGTACATTGTGAAGTTTAGAAGATGTGCACTGAGATGTGAGATGCTCCATGCCTCGCTAGAAGGCGCTCTTTGCGGTGACCCTGGGTGATGCGGTGACAGCGCTGTGGGGAGCGGTGGATAGAAATCCTGCAGTGTGACGTCACGGCACAGAGAAAATAGACCACGCCCACTGCCCCCCCCCCCTATTCCGATCCCGAGCATCGCCATTGGCTCTGCGACACAATTAGTCACCGATGTCTCTTCTTCATTGGCCCAGCCGGCTGTCAGTCAGCGGTGCCCGAGAGGGAGTTGACGTAATCTGTTCGGTAAATCAAGGCAATCTATCAATTCTTTTCGCTTGTGTGCAGATATAGGCGTCCGCCTCGTATCTCTACTGGAAAATAAACTCGCCAAGGAGCCACCGATTGCATTCACGGGTCCATCCTGCGGAGGATACCGCTATAATGGGTGTTTTTCACCAAAGTGGACTTTATAACAGTTTTCGTGCTCGCGGAATTTGATTTAAAAAAAAAAAACAACACGTCTTGAACGCTCGCTAGCTAACGTTAGTGTTCTCGCCGCTGTCCTGTGGTGCTGTCTTGGTGAGAGTCTTCAAACGTGAGTAAAAACGATGAATTAATGTATATTTTCAATGTTTGCGGTGCACGAGCTTGTAATACCAGATATGCATTCCAGGCAGTTGTTGATGGCTAACGTTAATCACAGACTCTCGGTGTCTTTGCACCGTTAACGTCACGTAGTCCTGGTTCCGACACCAGTTTTACACACTAACATTATACTATTTACTTTGCTAATTACATGTCAACACATATTTACGAGCACAATGCCTGTCTATGTCTGGATAGTTGTATCCTTCAGACACCGGAGGTGAGTTAGTTCCGTCTCGTGCCACAGACCGAAGTCACACCCGGTAACATTTCATGGCGGAACGCCAGCTTTCAATACGAGATAGCAGTACGGCTGCCGTCCGAAACATTAAATGTTAAAATCCTGAAGCCCTCCAGGGGTACAACAGGAACATTGTGTCGATTCTGTGCTTCTAAAATAAGCATGCAACTCCTCCCTGCACTGTTCCACAACATGCAGCAGCGAGGATTAGCCTACTTCCTAACATCGGCGAATCTAATTTCTAAAAACGGAAAATTAAGCTGTTTGCCTGCGCAGAATGAACGCAGTTCGTTACAGATGGGCCCAGCTCGCTGTTACCCACTGTTACCCACTGTAACACACACACAAAACGGGGGAGATAGAATTTCATGGGCGTATGCGTTAGCAAGTATGGCTGACTGCAAGGACATGGAAAAACACGAGTTATTTGGCAAATGTAGTCCCGGGGCGCTCGATGTATAGCGTTAATTGACACATTGCAAAGTTGTTCTTATAATGACAACAATATGATGTTTATTGCAGCCCATTTGTTGCATGCAATATTCATAGTTAGCATTCGTCAAACGCGTATTTTGCATATAATTATGCATTAAATGCATTACCTTTTTAAACCTTTTATTTGACTGTTATATGTCTGGTTGGCTGCTGTTTACAAAATATTAAAGCGCTTTAGTGGTTTTGGTCGGCCATATTTGTTGTACGCTGTTATGACTGGTAATTGGGAGGGGGTGGACTTTCATTGTGGTTGAATGTGATAGTGGGTTCTGCATTATTGCATTCTGGCAGTATTTTTATTTTTTTTTTAAAACAAGGAAACAAACTTAGCCCTGCTTAATTTATTCCAATTCCAGATGTTCTTTCTACTAATGCAAGCCTCACTTTTTCTGTGTTTCATTTAGGAGGGATAAACCAGGAATTTTACTGGGAGACTGTCCTAAACCGCAAACATGTCTGGGGCGTCTGTAAAAGTTGCTGTTCGAGTCCGGCCCTTCAACTCCAGGGAGATGGGCAAGGAGTCCAAATGTATCATTCAGATGCAAGGCAAAACTACAAGTAAGTAGCCCACTGGCGTGCACACAAGGACGCAAAACACGCACACACACAATACCAAACAGGGTCTGGAATCTGCAGGCCTGTCTGCTTATAGGGGAAGTTTGATGTATCACACATGCACTCCCGTGGTCTTCCTTTGGGGCTCTTAGCAGAGAACAGGAGAATGAGCAAACTGAATAGTGGACGGTTGGGGACAAATGGCCTGAAAGAGAATAAAAGGCTCACAGAGTGAAATTCCTCCTCCTCCTCCTCTGAAGGGGCCTGCATGCCTTCGGAGTCTCTGTGTGAGAAACGCTGAGCTGGTTCATACTGGGAGACCCAGGGGTCGCCACACAGCCTGGCCCGCTAATGCCTTCAATTCATCAAGGCTTTATCACACATGGATATGTCTGTTACTTTGTAGTTTATAATTTTGTTATCTCTTGGTGTACACAAATGGTTGTAAAGCACTTTTACAGTATGTATAAAGTGTAGGCCAGAAGTTAAACATTTACAATATGTACTGCTTTTTTATTTAGCTGGGGCTTAAGTTACGTTAGCCTTCTGACATTAAGGGAAAGTTTTACTGAATCTCTCGGATTATGCAGTTGTCCGCCGATTTGTCTAACCTTTGACAACACAGTATCGGGATCAGGGATGAAGATGGATGTTGTATAGATGCATTGAATATGCTTTCATTTTTATATTGAGGATCAGCAGTTTCATGCTTTAGTCATTCTTGGCTTTTACAAAGTTAAACATTTTTTTTATTGCCAATGGAAATGACTGATGTTCTACAATTGAAATATACACTAAAATCAAATGTATTAATATATTATCTAAATGTGTGTACCTGCAAAAAGTGTTAAATGTAATAATTCAATTATTATGCACATTGAATTAATCATTGGATATCTTTCCATGAACATATTGAATATCTAAGTAAATCTGTTGTGATGCCCTGCATCACTGCCATCGTTGAATCTATGATGATGCATTAAAGGTTGGACAACAGCGGAGCAAGAATAGGAGACTTGAATGCGGGTTGTAGTCTCGTGATTCAACCTGCCTTCTTGTGACTGAGTCATCAGCTACTGTGAAGTGCTAGCTGCCTCATTACTCATGGTTGTGCTGTATTTCCCATTTTTAGCAGACAGATGAACACAGCCCCCCCGACGCTAGTATGGAAACATTTACTGACTTGGTAACAAGACAGCATGTGACGCCAGAAACCTGTTCTTCCAGCAGTCGCTCTCATATTTGCTCTCATATTTGCTTTGTCTGTCAGTCTTACCGGGCCCCATTAGACTAAGCCTTTATGAAGCTTCCATAAGATCAAGTGTCCCTACTGGTTATGGCTCACTTGCCGTTTATCTCTCAAACTCCACCAAAGAGAAGCTTTGTGTCAAATCCCCAGCACTTTTACTTCATATCCTTGGGTTTTCATCATGCCAATGTCACTCGGAGGTGCTGGAGGGTGACTCGTGGTTTATAGCAGAACTGCAGTGTTTTTTGGGGGGGGGGGTGGTGCGGGTGCGGGAGAGGAGGAGGCTGCAGTACTGCCTACTCTACCTCCTATCACATGGGCAGGTTGCAGAGCAGAACGGGAGGCTGGCAGGCGGCCATACTCTCCCTTCATCATTGCAGATGGTATGCTGAGAATGCTTTTGTTAGGATTCTGTGAGGTTGAATGCAACCTGGTGGCTCAAATGCGCACACAGTCATCCAACTTTCTTTTATTTTAAGCTAAGTTACTCAACAGTAGTTTGTTTTTGGAGGTAGTCCAGGTTCACACAATGCTTTAATGGATGGTCACATTCTGTATTATGATTACGGTATGCAATTATGTTTCTTTGATCTTGACAAGTGAGTCATTTATTTTACTCAGTGATAAGATTTTTGCTTTTCATGACTACCAAGTGAGTGTAATTCCCTAATTAATTCTGTTAAAAATACAAACAACATCCAAAAACAAGTGGACTTTATTATTTTTGCCCCTATCAATGGCAGTGTATCTATGACTCATCACAACTTCATGTTGTACTCCACAAAACATCCGTCTATTGAGTATCAATCCATGGAAGCTTCTCAAACCACCTCTGCACCATAATCCACTTCTCAATCTTTTTTCAGGTCTGATGTTTAGTATGTCACGCAGTTTTAATCAGAATCAGGTGCGATAGTGCGCGCCGACCACGGTGCAGGTGACGCCTTTGTAAGTCTATTATTTGATGGGGTCTTTGGTGATTGCTGACATTTTAATGAGACTAAGGGCTGCCTCGCAGAAATGGGATTCTTATGAAGTTGTTTGGTCAGCTTGTAGGTGTTCGGCAGATATGTGGACGAGGCTGTGACACTCCCCGTATTGTTGTGAGTCGCTCAAGGGCGGATGTGTCAACAACACAGCGAAAGAGAGCGCCGGGGGCCAAGGGCAGGATATGCTGTCTCTCGCGCTCTCGCTCTCGCTCTCGCTCTCGCTCTCGCTCTCGCTCTCTTTCACCATGCATGGAGGGTTGTCAGGGATAGGATGCAGGCAGAGGGGCAGCAAATTGATTATCCAGTGTGCAGGAAATGTGTCCAAGGCCTCTGCAGGCAGGCTGGAAACAAGTAAAGGCCTCTTTCAGTAGAAGCTCTTAAACATACCAGCGCTAATGGAATTATAAAGGGGTGACGCGATCGGGTGTTGCATTAGTTTGTGTTGGTGCTACAAATGTTGAATAACGGCAGGTCACCCATAGCCTGCCTTTCGATGGGGCTCTTATGTGTCCTCCACGTCGGTCTCTGCCTTGTTATGTAAGCCATGTGTTATGTTCCCCCTCAGCCAGTGACCAGCCCCTCATGAATGCACTGCCAAAGATGGTTGATAGACCTCGCACAATGTAAAGAGATGACATACGTTAGAACATTACATTGACTTTAGTGGAACAAACCTGCGATCAGATCAGATTATTCCCACAGTATACTTTTTTACGTTACAGGAGATGATTGCCGTTTCAAAAGATACCAGCCTAGCCTATCCACGTTCTCAAGAACTGGATGTTACACAATATCATCCCCTAAGCTAAGGGTAAACTAATTGACAAATTGAAGGAACAAATAGAAGGTCAACATATCAATTAAACCTTTCAAATACAATTTTGCTGAGTGTCCTCTCCGCATGAGCTAAGTGGGTGGTGACCTTACAAAAGCCCTGCAGGGAGGAATCTGCTCAGCTCTGGTGTCGGTTACACGTAAGAGGACAGGAGGCCATCATCACAGCAGAAATGGCAATGAGCCCGTATCGTATGAATGAATCGTGGTCATTGAGGACAGAGCTGGCAGAACAAGTGGATTGGGAGCATAGGTTTGGTTGAGGGATGGTCATCCTGCTGCTGAACCCTTTGCAGACGGGGCCGATTGACCTGATTAGGACTAGTATAATCCACAGGCTGGCCTCAGGTCGCCACGCCCTGCTGCCGTAATCCCGATCACCCTTGTAGGTGCACACCTGACTATGCGCACCCACTCGGGGCGTTGCATTCCTCATCGCCTCATGCTGAGGTTGTTTTGGAGCGACACACATTTGGCAACATACACTACTTACACACTCCAGACTGACCTCCTAATGAGGAGGGAGGACAGGCAGATGCCTGTGTCTGTGATCCGCTCATGCTGCGTCTCAGGACTTTCAGGCCAGAGGTGCATACGCATGTCGTGCAACTCATCCGGTTTTCAGTATACCGCTCTGTAACCGCTGCTGTAACACCGACCAGCAACAGAAAGTGACTTGGGGCCTGGAGCACACTGCCTGTGTGAGCAGGGCGTGACTGCTGCATCTCTCGCACGCGAGCAATGTCCACACAGACTGCTTTGATGTTGCTGCACGTGGAAGTTCAGTGGAACTTTTTCACAATAATAATCAGGAAGAGACGATAATCTTACAAGTCAGAGCGAGAGGAATTGTATCCATCAGGTTTTCTATGACGACCAGATCCTGTTATTGAAATTTTTTTCATCTTGTCTGAAAATGAGATGCGATTAACATTTCCAGTTTGTTTTGGTCAAATTCTGTTCACGCAATCAACCTTTCAGTATTATATTTATTGTGCTGTAAAATAAAAAATTGCACAGTTTCTATTAATATTGCAAACTAAAATGTGGCACAGTCATGTTGGCTTTCCCCACTGGTGCTGAATCATTCTTCATTAATAAGTGTTAGAAACCACATCGTGCCATTGCGTATGAAGGGATAGGCTGAATGCTGGAATGTCTTTAGGTCGAAGGGGAAAGTGATAAATGCCTTCTCTCACTAAACTGCGGTTTCAGCTTTGTAGCTGAGAAAGCCAGTTGTGGTTTTCTTTCCACAACTTATGTTGACTCTTCACAGCCAGCTCAATTGTTTGCTTTTGTTCTCAGCTTGTGCCCATATTTAAACATAAGTCTTGATGCCTCGTTGCTTTAGTGCTGTGTCAATTTTACTTGTCAAACTTCGAATCAAACTGTTCTACGTTAGTATGTTAACAAATTGTAATCATCTTTAATTATGGCCTTAAAATCTGTAGAAACAAACTTTTGGCAGATATCACAACATCTGGAAGCATCAGACATGGTAGAAAAATGTATAGTTGAAACAGTGATGATGTCACCCTCAGGCTATATACAGTAACTGGAGAATTTGTTGGAATGTTAACATTATAGGGCCTGAAGATCTGCGAGATATCTTACAAAGAAAGGTATTCTTAGTGATGAAAATCCCTGAATCTTGTGATCGCATGAGTTTTGGTTTGTCACATTTTTTTTGCTTATGTAGAAGGAAGTGGTGTTCTGTCAGATCTGTGACTCTTCTTAAGTCCTGCCTCTTTTCGTTCTGTGTTCTAATAACAGTTGAGCAAGTGTGACACCTGACAGAACCTTTCCTGTAATATTTAGTAATGCTACCACTGTTCAAAGATGGCATTACTATGTATGTGAAATTAAATTGGTGTCACAATCTTCGCAGATGCATTGTGTATAGTCTCACCTAAAAGTAACTATGAGGAACA